AAAAGTTTGTTCAAATTGAGGGACAAAAAGGCTTGTGGAAATTTGACTTCAGTCTCGGAGCCGCTGGCGAGGAAATTCCTCAAAATTCAATGGAATTGTGATGCTTGTCGGGTTGTTTTTTTACATTATCGAGTGGATTACGGAGCCGAACGTGCGGAAACGATGAGAATAAATATTCCACCACTGAAAATTCCCCCGGTACCTGAGATTATTTTTCTTCTATTCCTTACGTGTCCGTTCCATATAAGAATATCAGGTATATAAGTCGAGGAATTCACAGTCCAGAAGCTCGCGGAATAAAACATATAGTTTTCCACTTCTCTGATTCTTGATTCTCCGCGCAAATGGTAGAATGAAAGATACTGGGAGAAAAATTTTTCAGTAGTAATATCCCTCGAGCTTCAAAATTATCGGATATTTTCCCATAGCTTTGTTGCAAACACATGAGGGTGTCAAGTTTTGCAGGGTGAAAAACTCCTGGCGCTTGCGCGAAATATTTTCTGGTAAAACTTGTCATAATCGTTTGTTTGAGGGGAAGCTTGAGGTAAATTTCCGATTAATTTTAAAGCTCGAGGGGTATTATTTCTGGATTATTGGATTATTTCTCCATCGGCACTTCGCCCAATGGGAACGGCCCATTTAATCGAATTGGCGAACAACTCAATTTATTTAGTATTCTGAGGAACATCTTTGTTTATTTCTTGATCAATAATTTATAAGGAATTCTTCCCAAATCGATTCGTTTTCAGATTTGATTCATTCACGTTATCAAAGTTTGACAGTTGTGAAGTTTCATCAGGCCATTTTAGTTGTTTCACAAGATAAATTCGTTACTTAGCAACTACCAGTGGAATATCCGAAGAGTACCCGGAATATTAGCCATCCTCTTCCGCCAAATTAGATCAAATGCGTCGTTTCTATTGGTCGAAATACCGACAGGGGAAATAATCAATAGTATTTCCCCTCGCGTTTAGTACTTTTATCTGAAAATTCAGATATTCGGAAAAACTCTCAATATCAATTCCATTAATATCCGAAAATCGATCTGAAACAATTTCACCAAAAAAAAGTTTCTAGTGAAGTTTATTTCAATTTTATCGCTTAATTTCTAGTGAATTTATAAATATTATATTTATATATTATATTTTTCATTCTTTAAAAATTCAATTTCGGTAATCATAACTCATGAGTGAGTGAATTGTTGAGTGGTTAACTGAGTTTAACTCATGAGAATCGTGGGATCCGGGATTTTTTGAGAAAAACAAAGTAGTTTATCAAATGGTGTTGAAAAAGGAGAAGAAACGTTGGATGGTTGGGACCCACCGCCATTACTCAATCGTAGATTCACTATATTAGATAACTAATCGATCGAGACTTCGTTATGAGCAGATCCTCAGTGATCAATCACGTAATTAGTAATGGACAAATTGGCAGTTGCACCTCGGGTGAAATTTCTCACTAAGTTTGGGGACGATGGTTGGAGACTTTATGGGAATTTCGGGCTGGTAAATGCGGTGGGCAAGTTCGGATTGGGGCGTCAAAACTGTCAACAATTGGTCAATGTATCATAAAGTTATTGAATTTAATGATTCTTCCCTGGTGTTGAAATTCCATAACACGAGCTGTTTATTTTCCGCGTAATGCCTTTGGAAATATCTTTCCCCTTGCATCAGGAGCAATGATCGCAAGTTTCTAAGATTTTCTAAGAATTTCTCGTTAGATTTTTTTATGAGAGAAGTTATAAAGCCTCATAATTTTTCGGGAAATATTTTCTAAGCGTTGACATGTCTTCCGGGCATTCATGTATAATGAAAACATAATATTCCCCTCAAAATAATTGTATGGCGATCATCCAGCATTCTCCGAGAGGTTGCTGCTCAATTTTTTATTGTGTAATCTGTGAACGTCAGGACCAGCGAAGACTTTGAACAACCTATTCTGGCACCTCCTCAAGTTATAAAATTCAATAGTTAATGTCATTAAAGGTGTGTCTCATCGTAAACAATTTACGCGATTATATCACTTTTTAATGATTTTAACCCACCCAAGGAAAATGGAGACTATAAACTTTTCATTTTTCAAAGTAGATTATAACATCCCAATAAATTACAAGTGTTATGTTTTTGATATAGGATTTTTAGAAAAAAAAACCTGTGACCCTTTTTTAATTATTTTATTTAATAGGATTGTATTGGTGTAGCATTTTTCACTCGGATTTGGTTTTTAATGTTGTTCTGAGTGTTGAGAAGTTTATTATTATCCAGGGGCGGAATATATGCGGAACCAATTGACAGATGACGGAAAGCTGGCCATTTCATTTGATACAATAATTTCGTATAAGCTATTACAATTTTAGATTCAGTGCGGAATGATGACGGATGAGTCTTCTGGCTATCCATGTAAATCATGGCGAATGATATTGTCCAGTTGGCAGTGGTAGATGGCTCCTCCCAAGCCAATGCTTCTTGGCAAATCAAACTGTTTACGTTGCACCATACTCCTGATATAACTCGACTTTTATTCACTCCTTTTTCATCAATTGCCCCGATAATCTCAAAAAGGCTCGAAAAATTGACACTTTCCCCCAATTTCCCTCACAATCACTTAATTTTTGCTCAAATTACCAAGCGTCAGGTTAAATTTCATTTCATCAGAATAAAATTAACCTCCGAGAATCACCTGAATTGTCCAGTAAAAATAAAAATCGCGATTTAATGTATAGAAATTTTCGAACCTCACCATTGAGAGTCGAAAAGTAATTCTCTACCAGTTTAATGTTGCAATGTCGTAAATTCCGGTGAAGTAACTACATTGATGGTCACTTGTCCTCGGGATTGCGGTCAGTAAATAATATATCGGAGATATAAGCCAAATCCTTCGGGTTAAACAGCTTTTTCTTGGCTCCTATCTGGGTTGAGTGTCGGAAAAGTTGCCCCCTGATTCATTTTTTGTTGCTAAATTTTTTTCCCCCCTCTTTTTTATTCCGCTATTTTATTTAAACAGCCCTTGACGAATGGGTGGGAGAGATTGTGAGTGTGCATTTAACATTTGGAGCAGTTCACTTTGCATCTACTGCACGTGAGGCGCACCTTATTTACTCACCATGATAAATTTCATTAGTGGTTTTATGTTTCACGAGTTGATGAGAGGATAAAAGAGGAGCACCACGTACGAGACGAGACAAAAATGGTTTCACGGAAGCAAAAAATGTTGAAAGCTTAAAATTTTCACAAAATTATGTCAAATTCGAAATTCCCAGTCAATTATTCTCTGAAAATCCATAGAAATACCAAGACTTTACATAAATATATGGTAATATCCACGCCAATTCTCAAAAACTGGCGAATTTTCCTAAATTCGTGAATTGAAATTGCAATAGAATTTTTTTTTCCGTGCCAGTGGTATTTAGAAACGTTTTCTTCTCGGAAATGAAAAATTTGTTGTAAAATTATCAATGGTAGTATCAATGGAATCACGATTTATTCTTATTGGTACCTGTCACTCGACAATTAATTCTTCACTCTACAAAATACTCCACTATTCCCAACTATTTCCGATAGAGCGGTCTTGCGGTCTCTAATGCTTGGTAATTCGATTGACTATCAGATACATATCGTGACAGTGGTAGAAAGAAAAAGATCAAATTCTCCGGAGTGGACAGAGAGGCGAGACAAATGAGGTGGCCAAATAAAGAATGAGGAACTTAAGAGGACCAATTTTCGTTCTTGGCGTTTATCATCAATTTGCCGCTTTCCTACCCTAGTGATTCCAATAATAGATAACCTTTTGCCCATTATAACACATCACTATCAAATGTATGCCCTTTTCACATTAATCTACCTTGACTTGACTCCCAAAAATATTGGAGAGCTATTTCTGAAATAGTATGCAAATAACCTTCACTTCCGGATTGCGTTATCTGCTCTATTTTTTTTCTTGTCCCCGTTCTAACTTTTTTATGTTCCATACTCTCCATTCTTTACAATTTCACACTGAAATTCACATCGTGAAATTCAACTACAGAATTAACTCTACAGTTTGCAATCGACGAGAGACTCGTATAATTCTACGGTAAAACAGCCATTGAGGAAAATTTAATTTGTGTTCATTTGTTGAGTGCTCGTCACCTCATCAAGAAATATTCTTGACCTTTAAACCCCGGATGATTAATTTACTGGAGTTGGAGTTAATTTGATAAATTTATCAATGTGACAATTTATTTGTGCATTTATCTCTGAATTTTTTAGGAAAACAAATTAAGCAGATTTCTCAAATCATTTGATAAAGCTAAATTAGTTTATCAAATAATTTTTATAATTCCCATAATTCAATGCAAAATTTATGTAAAATAGTGATGATTTTCTGTGCGTGTAGTCACTTCACTGAAAAAAATTTTGCACTCGAAGAAAAAAATATTTGCCATTATCAAGTTCATGATTTCGATGAATCGAAGATTTATTCAGAAATTATTTTTCTGTGACAAATAATGAGGATATGTGGTGATCAATTAATGAACAGTCGAGGAGAGATGCCTGATATTTAAAATTCTCATTCGTATTTCTTGGGATAGAAGGGGCGTGCGCAGGTGGCTGCATAATCGGTGCACTAACCAGAAAGACAAACCCAGCGAATCGCGTAGAATGCACGAGTGAGGGCTATACTGCAAGTGTACAAACAATGACTCCCAGAAGTGGGAGAGGGCAACCCACGGATAACCAAACTACTACAGACCTATTTATGTCGTCATCATGTGTGCGAAAATAAACCCATCAATCCATGGAAAGCCACTTGGCACACCATAATATCAAATAATCAAATTGAAGTGTTTCTCGCGATTCAATTAGCGAGGCATCAATTCTCTCCCAATTCTCCTTTACCCCGTCTCCCATTCACCAGAAATCAAGCCAATTACGGCACGATACGATACAATATGATGATGATGATGATGATAATATAAAAATGATATAATCAATCACGAAATCAATCTCGCAGCTCCTTACATTTTCTGTCAAAGGGCGTGTCATCTTCTTGAAGGAATGAGGATAACTGAAAATATCTTGAGGGATTGAAGTATTTTTCGGAGTAATGTCACTGTAATTGTCGGTTAAATCCGGTGATTTCGGTGTTTTAGGGCGTTTGGTAGTGAGGGATTTTGAATTTTGCAATTCGAAATTTCGGCGCGCGAAACTTTAACCCGCGGACTATTTGTCGTGTGTCTAGATGACTCGGGTCGCGAGGTAGGACTGCGTACTTCACTGAAAGCAAGCCCCGATTCCACCCCAACTTTACCACCACCACCACCGCCACTACAACACTCTCTCTCTCTCACTCTCACACACCATTTGCTCTATCCTTTCTCTCGAAATCTGTCTTTGTTACACTGGCGTGTGCGCTCTCGCTCTCTCCTTCAAGTGGTCCATCACGACTTACACCTCGGCATGTCCGTCTGATCTTTTACTAACGTCATCATCAACGCTGATGCACCACCAGCGCTCGCATTTTTCATATCAGTTATTCAAATTTTCGCGGCTCCATGGATGCAGCTCCCGTTTACGCCATCACCGGGAGGAGACGCCCTGATTGCCCGGGATGTGCTCTCACACTTTGCCCAGCATTTTATTTCACAGTATTTATCTATTTCTTTTTTGCTTTCCTGCTTTTCCGCTTTTCTGCTTCACTGTCAATGCCGCCCCCCCCCCCCCCCCCCCCCCCCCAGTGCTTCTCCATTATTCAACCCTCTGTCACACCTTCGGGGATAATTTCAATTCCCCGATGAATCCTCGAAAATTTGTCAACGGGAGTTTCGTATCACCAATTTTACGGTTGAAGAACAATTTTTCTTTTATCATTAAGTCAGGAGATTAAAAATTTTTCATTGTGATTTTAATTTCAATTTTGTTGAATTGTATCAGAATGAAAATGTTTGAATGGAATTAAATTCCAGGTGAATTAGCAGAATTGCATTATAAATATGTGAAAGACTCGCAATTTTGTATGAGGTGTAGAAAAATGTTAGTGATTCTGTAGCGGTTGAAAATACCAAGGAAAAAACAATGCCGATACATCCATCCATTCTCGTATACCTCAGCTCGTTCTCTCTTTATTCCTCCGGTGAAGAATAAACAGGCAGAGGACTATGGTGAATGCCTCTTTCGAGTGCCGGAGGATTCATTGTTTTCCAATAGCGCGAGAATCTACCACCTGGGGTATCATTGATTGGGATACTCAACATTTTACTGCTTTCTCTTCAGTAAGAATCTCAATGCACCAGCATAAGGTGCAGTTTATTCACCAGATATTCTCAATATTCGAATTGATTGGAATTACGACCGAACGAATTACCACAAATACTGATTAAAATGTCCGGGTGACATCGAGAGCGAAATAAATAATCTATTGACGCATTGCACAGACAATTGTTTCTATTTTCGGATATTTGCATTTTCAAATATTTATTCACCTGTTTTTTTTTTTTTGAGGACATTCAAATGGTCTCGACGCTTCGAGGAACAACTAATCAAAATGGAAATAATTTTCAAGCCCCTGCAGTACATCACGTCCTGTCATGTATGCAAAATACCGAGGTGTATTTACATTTTTTTAACCTCCATTTTACACAGAAGTCGATTGCTCTGGATCATTGCTTTTATTTTTTACTGAAATTTCTTGCAACTTTTACCTTGAAAAATGACAATTTTTTGTGTAATCCCTGTTTCCAGTGGAAGTCCGGCATAAAATTCTCATTAATTGAAATATAAAAGTTTTATTCGTTCTCGATACTATATAGCGCAATTATCTCAGGATACCGCAAGTTGTTCACCGCTTAAGTACAGACAACGAATAAATTTTATGTTCCATAGTAAAAGTTGCGGGCAGAAATTGTTTCGTGATGAATATAGCATTCCCTGAGATTTCATGTAATTTCAAAAAATTGTGGTATTAAGCCCCAAAATTGATCCGCAAAGACACTTTTTATCCGCTCAATTACGAGAAAACTAGTTTCCAACACTGCTGATTGTTCTGTACCAAGTATTCCAAGTATCTTTAAAACTCCACCCAACTAAAGACGTGCCTGCCCTATCAAATAAACCATTTATGCCGGCAGATGTGGTAGTAGCCAGTGAAATTCCTCCAGAAAGCGTTGGCAAAAATATGATAAAAAAGGTGAGTAAAATTTCAGAGGCAAGAAGCGCCTTTCTCCACGAGGGTAGGCATCCATTTGAGGGTTGCCATGAATCCATTTGTGGTTACTATGCAGCTGCGAATGGAATACGTAATGTAAATTTTACAACCGCCGACGGGTACAGCATCCAGACACAATTACCACAAACTATCATTATGAAATCTGCGAATGTCTTGAAACTGTGTCAACAAGAATTACCAATAAAATGTTAAAAATCCGAAGGCTGAATGTTTGGGTTCTCCTCTAGGTAGAAGTGTAATTTGTTTTATTTGACAGGGGAGGGAAAATTCCTCAGAGAAAATAATCATATATTTTCAGCTGTGCGGTTTGGTACGAATTGTCAACCCCTGCCACAGGGAAATGCACGATGGACACGAAATAGGGGTAGAAATGCGGCGGCGACGGATGGTTTTCAGGGTTGGGATCAGGGGAACAGATGAAACGAGCTTCTGATGTCTTCCGTAATGTAGACATAACCAGTAGTTATGGCTCGTGTTGCTTCTGGCTTGAGCTCATGTCGTTTTAACATTTATGTGAGTGATTCTCCGTTGCGACTTGCACGTATGGTCGGGCAAAATTGCAGACTTCTTTTGCCACAACTTTACTGGAAAACGACGAGTGGATTGCAACGTTTAACTTTATTCGCCACTTGCGGGTTTTTCCCCTCTTTTCACGCTTTCTCATGCCTCGATACACAAAAAAATCATTGATTTGTAGTTTCTTTATATTGATGAATGGTTGTCTGATGATAAATAGTCATTTTGAGGGAAACAATTATTGGATAATTGCTTGTACTCTACAAATCTTGTAATTTTTTTCTTCGGGCCAGTTTTATTCGGCATCTCATTGAGTTTTATTTTGAATTATTTGTCGATAAAATAGCGCCATGGAAATCAAATTCTCGGGGTCTCGCCGTTTTTTATTCGAGAATATCGCGGTTCAAACTCCGTGAAAAACTATCTCCCGGATTCAATTTAACGTTCGTCGCATAGATATGCAACACAATATTACCGCTCAATTCCCTTTTCTCGAATTTTCAGGAGCCATAGAAAAAGCGGAAAAGTTTGTGTACACGGTTCAATAGAGTCATTCAAAAATAGTGATTTCTTCCACAGACATATTATGGGAAATATATATCGGAATTTTCCCCTTTTCTCCCACAAAATCTCATAATTATCCCAAATTTCTATTTCTGTTCCTTTCAATTTACTCCCCAATTTGTTATTAAAAATCAACTTAATCTTTCAATTCACTATGAAATAATTACATTTCCATTCTGTTATTTTCCAAATGATGAAAATGCAGAGTAGATTTTTAATATTTTGTGGAAATAAATTTTTTCTTCGATTCGTGGAAGTAGAGAATTAGGGAGAATCGAGAAAAAGCGTCACTCAGATTCCATTATTGTTTGATTCCTCGAGTGAAACCGAGAAATAAATAAAAATCATGGAGAAACTTTAAACTGCTTTGTTCGCCGCATGGGAGAGCTTTTCCTAAAAGTTGTCCTGGATACCTATAACTTCACGTGCCTCTTCGAAGCATTGAAAAATGTTTCTCAGTACAAAGCAGCCAATCCTTACTCCGATACCATTGAAATATCTTGTTGAGAATGTGAAAAAAAAAAATCCGTGGGTCTTCACTCTGTCCTCCGGGATACCACCGGGAATTCTAGGCTTGAAGCAATGCCACAGTTACTTTGCTTTCTACCACTTTCAATTCTCACCACACTTTTTTCTCTACTTAGTTATTTACTTCCTGTTTGCCGACTTTTTATTTATTTTCCTACTGCTAACACCCACCGGGCAATCCTCCCCGTTACTTTCGACAACTCAACGAATATCGAACCAACTTTACAGAAATCTTCTCGTCGGGGTACATTCCTGTTGGTGAAATAAATAACTCAAATTTTTATCCATTTTTTTTAAACGAAGAGTAATGGAATGGTAGATGTATTTGCATCGTACTTATCCTGAAATTTTTAACAAGTTAATTAACTTAATTACCTTTTAACAAGTCGCAATATTCAATTCTGTGAATTCATATTCTAATGAAAATCTTGTCTGTAATTGAAAATCTTCATTTTTTTATTTCAAGAATGAATGAAGAATGAAGGCAACAGGCCTTTATAGCACTGGTCAAATTATGATACGATAAAAATGCCGTCGCTGGCACGATGAAACCATAACGATGCGAGGGAGAAAACTGCTGATAATTTTTGATCATTTCTCTTGCGCAAGATATCCCCTCAATTTACCCCCTCTGTAATATAATGTACAACTATTAGGACAAATACATGTCAACAACAAACGTTGTAAAGAAACTTCGGGGTACAAACTACCTCTTCTACCGTGAGACAATATGGAAGCACTTTGTTTGCGAGGGTTTTTCAGGATTTGCGGAGTAATCCATCAAGAGACAAGCAAAGGCAATAGAAGTTTTGTGACAACTTACTTTTGTTGAATTGCAGTTTGAGTTCACAATGCAGTCACAGATGAAGTTGAGGATAATGCAGCGGAGAATATTTATTTTAAAAAATATCCAGGACATCATCCATGTGTCATCCAATGTCTGAGATTTCATCCTACAGCCTCTGCTTATAATATAGGTGAAGCAAAATTCCAATTTATCCTGAGCGATTAATAAGAGAGACTACTGGAAAAAGCTATCGCATTCCCCAGAATTGTGAAGAAAGCTTGTTGGAAAACTCTATTAAATTTCCCAACTCATCTCGTACGACAACTCTGGAATCCCCCATTGTAATCCCTAGTAGATCGAATTTTAATCGTTCCTCGGACACATTTAATCCATTCAAACTGCAATAATCGAAATCAACATAAAGACTTCTACAAAAACATTTCTCGATGAAGAATGACCTCAGCGCCATGGACTGCTTTCCCTAGAGGTCTGCGATCAATCTTTCGATCCGCTCAGAGGATTGAAAAACCCGGAGCCCAATTAAGCAGAAAAAAATCTCCTGATTTCCGCGAAAACCCTTGAATTCCTCAGTAAATTCAGGTCTATAACAACAAAATTTAATTTATATTAACAAAAAATTGCGGTGAAAGTAGTCAATTTAATTGAATAGATAAATTAAAGTAATGATTACGCGTTCTGGAGAATGAAAATCGACTCTCCCCATCGGTCGAGTTAAAGCAATTTTGGCTCGCATGATCACCGCAAATTTATCCCCGCAAATATCACTGATTGAACCCGCAACAAGTGAATTCACTAAGAGACATGAGATCCTTCGCGGCTGATACTAAGCCCGTGGATTCGTCAAATCAAACGACAAACGATAATTCAAACCTATCAGCAAAATGAAATTCAAACAACTAGTAACTAGCTTCCGAGAATCTCGATGAACACACGGTAGTTTTCTGGCACAATGGAAAAGAGAAAAACTCGAGAATTGCACGGGTGATAAATCTGCAGTACAGACTCCCCGGAATCACCTGAAAAAATCCAATCAACATGGAAAATATTTTGTCAACCGTGATATTTGCTTGGCCCGTACATCGGAAGAGAATAGGTCAATGGATTTCATCCCTCGAACCCCTCAATTATTTTCCACGAGCAACGTAGATTCCTTATCTGCCAACCAGAATAGTTCGGACCATTAATAAATCCTTCCAAGTCGATGCACGGTGAAATTGTTCCCCAAATACTTCGGATTACACACGAAATAGCACTTTAATACCGCATCGCTGATAAAAAATTAAAATTTTATAGACTTTACATTTTTCCCGTAAATTTCGGAATTTTTCTGAATTCTGAGTACTAGACATAGAAATAAATATCCATTGAATGATTTCTGGAATTTTCATTATTCCGTGTATTATTTATGCACGTATTCATGTTTTTTTACCGATAGATATTTGTTCCTGTTGAATATTGTTTTTTCCAGTGTGGATTCATCTCCAGTTATAAATATCCATTTATTTCGAATTTGACACCCAAAGAGGTGATGAATCACAACTTGAGGACAAGTGTCTTTGGGCAAAATTGGTTGGCAATTGGCACTTGGCTGGGTAGAACGAGATTCTGTCGCTTTGTCGATTTTCAGAAACGAGTTTGGGGTGTAAATTTACCAATTTCGTCGCACTCAAACGCTCGTTTCCTATCAAATTGCAGACTGCACTAGAGGGTAAAAATAAATATCACCCAATTATAAATATGATACTTTCCACAAATTCTCGATGAGACAATGGCGAGCATTTCCAGGACTATTGTAGAATAAGCCTGGGAGCATCGAAAAAGTTCATCAGGATTAATGAAGTTAGCGGTGGAATTTTCTCGGGGCTTTCTCTCATGATGTTCACACACTTGGAGTGACGTAGGTTTTCGTGGGGTCCGAGGCAACCTTTTTAAACTTTTTCGCGTTGGTATATCGATTTTCTTCGTCGAGAATGCTCGAAACTTTTCTCCACCTTTTTTCCTCTCTCCCCCACATGCTCCTACCATCATTTTTTTCCGTCTCTGTAGCATTCCCTTTTTGTTTGTGATGTATGTTGCACCGCAACCCCTGGTTTATTGGAAATATTGTTGAGCTGTGGTCTCCAGTTATCGCTGGTAATTCAAAAGATTCGGTACTACAACAGAAGTTATTTCGCTCAATGAAATGTGCATTTATAATAATTATTGATTGTTATTTGCAATGGTATCAATTTTTCTTCCTTTTTTTTTCTACTGAGGACTGATTCTCGAGGATTTATTATAGTTCTGGGTGAAATATGTGGGATATTTAATTAATTACTTCGGAGATGTTTTTCTCTTCTTTGCCAAAAATTATTCCTCGGAGAAATGTAGATAATGAACGCTTGATGTGGTGAACATCTCCGTAAATATTAAATCATTTTCATGATGGATTTCACTGAATATGTTCTGTATTTTAATGGAGGAGTTACGCAATGGTCTATGGACGAATATTGAAGTTATAATGAAAGATAGCCCCAAATTTTCAACTACGATTTTTTCCTTTCCCAATCCCTAGAGATTTGCTGATTTTTATTTCGGTGTCAGAACAATCGTATTATGAAAATCCAATTTTCACACAGTGAACCTTTGCTACACTGTGCTACTTCGCTGTAACCATCTGGCTTTCTCAGGAAAAGTATTTTATTGTGGGAAAAATTCGAATTCTTCACTACCATGAATTAAATATTTGCTCATGCTTTCCGCCTCGAGAGTTGATACCCAATGAATACATCACTGTACCAGCATGCACTCAACACAAATTTCCAAGCAGATCGCGCAAACTTGTGGAATTGAAGCTGCGAACAATCTGTCAATGCAGATGTTACTTCCCAGAAAACACTAAAATAAAATGAAAGTTGAACCCTCCCGCCTATAGCAATTGAAAAGTCATTACCCTGAGTGTTCTCCAAAATTTCTGACAAGTGTTGCACTCCCTAATTTAGGAGTTAATAATTCAGATCCAAAAAGGCTCACAGTTTCCAACAACGAAAAATCAATGAACATTTAACACAAACATGGCCAATACCGGAATTTATTGAAATGGGGTCATAAGAATTTAGGAGGTTCTCGAATTTGTTGATAAGACATCAGTGTTATCGATCTTCAATATATTTACCCCGTAGGAATGCCATGCAGCATTCCAAAAAGCCATTGAAATCGGATATGCTTTGATGGGCGGATGAATAAGAACTGGCGGGATAAACCGTTAGGGGAAAGAGAAACGAAATCAGCGCAAATCCAGAGACGAGAGGAGTGAATTGAGGAGGTGCCCGAGAGACCCGTATCAATCATTTTGATTCATGAGATAGGGCCTTCTAGGGGATTATCCCGTCAGATATCCGCCGGAAATAATGTCCACCCCATTCACCTAGTGGCCCAGAGACATACCCTCTTTTTCTTTTCCCTTTCGTATAACTTTGAAGATACAAAACTGAGGTAAACCCGTAATTATTACCATTTTCGGAAATTAGTGAACATGTTCAAGAGTCATTACCCATGTGATATCAAATTTCTGATGACTTAAAATACGAAAATTCCCATCGGATATTTAATCCGACTGAAAATCTCGTCGTCAAATTGTAGAATATTTGTTTATATAATCAATTAAATAATTACTACATTGATATTGTTATGTGATAATTAATAAAATTTAACTAGCTCTCATGGATCGACTTGTTTTGCTATTTTCGTTGTAGACTGATTACAATCGACATTTGGAGCAGCTTATTTCGGATACTGAGGATGTGCTGATAGCATTTATCACTGAAAATCTGGGTAATCAGCCCAAGGACACTCTCGCTGATCTCCACGGTCAATTAGAAATCGTTAAGGGATTATCCAACGGTAAGGAAATGAGGTTTAAGGTGTTGTCGAGGGATTAATGGGGTTTATTGATAAATACGCTAACTGTTTGCATGAATCATGATATCGGTGAACTCGAGGGAGTGATGAACGATGGGAGCTTTGAGTGTGGATGAGTTTTTAAGTATTGAGAGATTTTTATTCTTTGCATTTCTCTTAAATGAATTATCATCGGGTGGAGAATGGGATTTTCAATTCTCTGAGTGCTGGGAACTGCATGAAGACAGATGAACAGCATTTCGAGAAAAATTAATGACAATATCTCATTACTGATTTCCTTCTTCAATTTCTCCAGTACAAGTTCCAACAGTTTTATAGTAACGAGAGGCTTGATATCTCGTCCGGTTGCAATCATAAAACATTGGGACTCAAGTGAGGAACTTTTTTATGGGGGCGAATAAATTGGTAGATGAAATTTTATGATCATGAGAATGTAAAGTACGGCTGGAGCTTCTGGAGGGGTTGTATGGTGATAAAAGATATCATTTACTTGAGCTGTTTTTTTTTTGTGAAACTTACAGATGGAAGTACTGCTGCCAAGACACAAGTCGCCGAGATCGATATCTTTTTGCAGCGTATTGAAAAACTATTGCAGCTGATTTCGATGATGAAAGGACTCCAGTCAACGGGAACAACTGATCTGACCAGGATCGAGACAAAACTGGCGAATCTGGCTGCAGTTGTGAGGGAAGATAAATGTTTGAATGCGGGTGGAAAGTTTGAATGGGTCGACAGTGTGTTGGTGAAGGTAAAAGTCAATTTTTTTTTACGACCTTTTTAACACCTGAAATTGTTAAAAGGGAACTGAAACTCCAGGGGTAGTTGATTGCGGGGAGGGTTCATTTATGTTTTTCAATTCTATTTAAAGAAATTGTGTGGAATTGAAAATCTTCCTCAGACTATTGTAAATGTTTTCAATTTTTTGACAATTACAATATCGTGACAGAAGATATATTGACTGTTACTGAAAAGGGTGGAGTAAAATGAGTAAAACGTTTTGGGGTAAAAGCTTTCACTGTTGAGTGCTCGAAAATGAAGATAGTATTTTTATTGGATGCATTGAAAAATTTCTGTTGAATCTATATTTAGCCAAATGACCCATTACATGGAAATGGAAATCGATGAGCGGATGAGATGTTGATTCTATTAGAGCCAACCCATCACACGTCTGTTTGGAAATTTCCCGGTCAATTGACCTAATGAAATACTAAATTGTGTGCTAGAGTGAAATAAATTAACTTGATTTGAACGAACGTACTCGAGAGATCTCTCAATCTGAGAGGGAGCAATTCTTCCCCAGAGGGTTGTCTTACGCAAAAGGTTCTCATAACCACTTTCCCATCTTACTCACTTTCACATATTATACTTAAAAAAATTACGTGAAACTAAAATATCTATAAAATTATCTACTTCGATTACCGACAATATTACAATAGCCCCGAAAATCCAATAATTTCCAGAGAAAAAAATCTCTTGATATTTTCAATTCCAAAATAGTATATTTCTGGACTGTCCGGAATATACTATTTTGAAATATACTATTTGAAATATACCGGAAATATACTATTTTGTTTAGAAACATTTAAAATATTAATATGCGATTTTTTAGTGTCTTCGAGATGGCACATGGCTCCTAGTGGATCAGGTAAACCTGTGCAGTCCAGCGGTCCTCGACAGGCTGAACGGTCTCCTCGAACCAAATGGAGTTCTCACGATTGGTGAACGCGGTATCGATCAATCTGGCAATGTTAACACCGTAAAACCGCATCCTAATTTTCGTCTTTTTCTCACTATGGATCCCAACTACGGCGAGATATCGAGGTACTTTCACAATCGATCTCATAACTATTCGCTTTTTTTATTGCTCTTTACCACTTTCATATTATATTTTGTAAAACAACTCAATTGATAATTAATTGCTCATTAATTTATTCTACTAGGGCGATGAGAAATCGAGGGGTGGAGATTTACCTTCTCCCCCGAGGAACCTCTCATGACCTCAACTTCCTGGACATGAAGTCACAGCTGCAGGCTCAAGGAATAATCCAAAACACTCACCAGAATGCACTTATCAACTTGAACCAGACGATATGGGCATCCCAACTGGTCCGAAAATCCGGAGGAAATCAAGTCTTGCAAGCAGCCTCATTGATATCACAACAAGTGAATCGAGGTTTTCCCGTGGAAACTGCGTTCAAGACTGCCTGTGAAAACGTCTACATAAAAGCTCAGAACATTCACGACCCTCAAACATCACAAAGGCTGAAGCAGTTGATTGGGAGCTCAATAGCTGCTCAGAATTTAAGGGAAAGGAAACCAGGGTACCTGGACCCCTCAGAGATGACACCCCAGACTATGGAATTTCTGGAGAACGCTAGATTGTCCCTGATGAAGCAACAGGGCACGAACATGAAGGCCATCTGCACCAAATACGACGAGTGGCAGAAACGACATAAAACTAAACATCTCCTGACGAATTTTCTCGATGAGAGCTACTATCCCAAATCTAAACCACATGAAACTGAAGCTCCCATTACTGAAGACGTTTTTCTCCACTTCGTGGTAAATTTCTTCGAGCATGCGAGCGTCGAGGATTTCCATATGCGATACGATTTTCTGATCACCAGACACTCCTCAATTCTTGGGAAGCACAGACACCTGGCGGAGAAGCTGAATGACCTGAAGAAGATCATCAACACTGCAGCTGAAGGACTCGTCAGTCGTTCCCTCCCCTGGCATCCTCTGACCTCCCCCTGCAGTTTCACGCCTGATCAGGTCCAGCTGGCCCTAAAAATCTCCCTAATGGCTCACATAAAGATATGCCTGGTTGGACCAGATACTTCCAAACCTCAGAAGAATGATCTCGACCAGATAACGATCGAAGATTATTCACGAGCACATGAGCACCTCAACGTGTTTTCCCATAATTTTTCAGTGCCTATGATGGAATTCGCCGCCACTGTTAAAGTACTCAGTGAATGGATCGAGATCTACATTCTCCACGCCATAAAAAATCTCACGTACAGGAGCTGCATCGATCTGAGGAGACACTTTGTGCGCCTGAAACGATTCTACGATCAGGGGAAAGTTGTACTCTATATGCGGAGGGAAGATCCTGAGAAAGAAACGATTGATAAAATCGAGAGGACCCTCGAAATGCACTGTCGCTGGATGGTGAAATTTGTGATAAAAACTATGAACGAGTCCTTGCAGGTCGAGGACGAGAAGGTTCACGAATACTTGAAAACACTAAAATTAACGGTTAATAAACTAGTTGGGAATATAGAGGATGAAAATACTGGTTTTCAAAGGCTCTCCGAGGTGATACGGAAAAACATGAATTTCCTTCCTCCATTCAAGTCAGCTGAGATAATCTCTATCAACGATCGATTCCAGAGAGTACTGACAGAGCTTACCCCAGTGGCTAATGTCTCCGGCTCGTCACTCCATTCGCGCCTGAGATTAATGATGATCCAAATGAAAGAATGTGCAGAGTTACGAGTGAGTTTAATTAAAACCTGGAGGGACATTAATATTAGTCAGAGCCCCGAGGAGACGAGCGACGTAATATCTGATGTAGAAGTGATATGTACTGATCGTAAATTGTCACTGGATACAAACGAAAAAATTTCACTGGCACTGGAGTATTTTTTAACATCTAGAACCGAGAGGGAGTTGAGTGAAGCAGCCATGAAGATTCAACTGTGGCCCATTTACGAGTATCTATTTCTCTTGATGACTAATAAATTACACAGACTCCTTTGCGAGAAAATGATCAATCCGGGAAGAAGTCAGATGCCTCGTGAGTTATTCACAAATTTTGCAGGGGTCGCAAGTATTCCTATCAGTCTGTTGGCAGTGCTCGATACTATTTACGTTGGTGGAAGAAAACTTGAGTATTCTCTGATGTCTGAGCTTTTCTGCCAGCTGAGGAGCTTCAGAGACAGTTCTCTAGTTTGCAGAGACCCAGAGGCTGTTCTCAATTTGTCTGGTGTCAGTCGTGATGATATTGATTTTGTCAATCTCCCTGATTACCACCAAACTGATTCCAATTCCCTCCTACAGCCAACTCTGGTCATCCTTCTGTCTAGTTTAATTCTCAACAAGACTGACAGCAAAAAGGACATAGCGGTGATAAAAACAGCTACTTTGGGCAGTTGCAAGGATAAAACTAATCAACTGAAGATGCTGAATGAAGTGGTGTGGAGGAACAGTGGAGCAATTAACTCTGGAGAGTATCAGTTCCTCAGAAACGATGCTCAGGCTTTAGTCGGCTACGTGACTAATTACTTGAAAATAATTGAGGATATTGGAGACGAAACTGCGGGAAAAATCATTCTCAGTCCTATGAATTTTAAATTGGCAATTGGATTGAGATACAAGGTGGAGTATTTTCAACCCCTGATGGAATTTAGAGACTTTCTGAAAGACTCAGAAGATCGGGCATTAGAGTCGTACACGGCCAATGAGCTGGGGATGAAGTGGGCTCAATTGGGGGTTCACCAAATTTTTTTCTTTACTCTGCTTAATGTGATAGATCCAGTAGAGAAAATCGATCACAAGATCGAGTTCACTGAGGAATGCATCAAAGACCTGGAGAATATGGTGTATTCGATTCGTTTCGATGGAATGATCCTAGGGGATTGCCCAGAGACTCACGACCCGAGGGTGATGGAAGCTCAGAAAGCTCTGGACAAGTTGTATATTAAACGAACAGAATTGCTCAAAGCCAGAGGATACCGAGCACCAAATGCCAAATATATGAAGTTAAGCGAAACTCTCAGAGATTTCAGACAGGCTTTCCTAGAACCAAATGTCATTCTTATACCACTGGAGTCTCTCTGCAATTTGTTATCCAATAGTTCAACAATGGATGACCAAAAATTTATGACCATTGTGGATGAGGCAATAAAACGTCTTGAGGGGCATGACAGATCCCTCCAGGAGTTCTCCGCGAGACTGAGGTATAAATTCTTCACTAATTATCGAGATCTGGTTCAGCCTATCCAGACAGCTCTGGCCTACGTACATCATGGGATGAAAATGGTCATCGACGAATCCACTAGACTCGTCGCCGAACGAAAATTGAGTTTTCACTTTTCGTCGAGTGCCGAGAACTTCTTTCATAACATCGTGAGGTTTCCAACTGTTGGACATAAGCAGGAAAATTTACTTCAGTTGATTGATCTGTGCACTCGCAAAAGTACCAGGGAGTTCATAGATTCGAACATTGAGGCGAGGGGGCTGGGCCCAGGTGTTGGGATGATGGAGATCTTCAACACATTGAAGAATTCCCTCTCTGAACTTTATAATTATACGAGTCTGAATGGAAGGGTGACACCAGAGATCTGGAAGGTGTTGGAGAAAATTCTTTTGAAAATTGTGCTAATCTGGCAGAAAAAGGAGATCGAAGGGGAACGAAAGAAGGAGCAGGAGGACTCGTTATACAAACATAAAACCCAAAGTCTGGGGGAAGTGCCAACTGAGGAGGAAGAGATAAACTTGGAGCTGCATAGATTATTTCCAAGTCATCGTGAGGATGATTTTGAGGGGATTGAGGGTGAGGCAACGTTGGAAACGATGAATTCACAGGCAAAGGAATCTCGAAGCGATGGGGAGTGTATCTTCGAGCATCTCTTCACTGATGAGGACATTCACGAGGTCTACAAGATCCACTCGAAGCTGGTTCAGCACTTTGTCAGAGCCCCATGGCTGAAGCCCAGTGATATCAATCCTAAAAGAACTTACATTGAGCCCCTTTTGGAGAGATTCAGAACCTTTAATACACTTCTACCAAATGCCCAGGCAGCTCTGTCGTCTGAGTTATCTACAAATCTCCATATGAGTTTCAATATTTTGACATCAGTGGCCGCTTGCAACAGTCAGGGGGAGAACTTCCTCGAGGACTTTTCATTCAACGTGAAACCCTACGACTTCTACAGATCACAGAACATCGAAGTAGTGAAGGAGTGTCTACCCACCCTCGAGGGAATTCTGAACAGAGTCAATAGCCTATTGAATCAGTGGCCAGAGCACCCAACTCTCTCCTCAATTCGCACAATTGTCATTCGAATCAACAGCTTCTCCATCGACTCGCCTGTCTCACGATTCCTCACAGGTCTCGAGCTCCTTCTCATAAAAATGAGAGAATGGGAGGAAAACGCCCACTCTGGCGTCAGTCTTGTTGAGCACTCGACTTGCCTCATACAGCAGATCATCGAGTGGAGGAAACTGGAATTGAAGTGCTGGAGAAGCTGTCTTGAGACAGCCTTTGAGAGACTCAAGGCTAAAACATCTAAATGGTGGTTCCTGCTGTTTCGTGTCATTCAATCGTACCTGAATAAGCAAGAAACCCAGAAATCTGCATCAGTGGAAAACGAGGAGATAACATCAAAGAAATTAATCGAACGTTTGGAGAATTTCATGAGTCAGTCTCCACTGGTGGAGTTCCAAGCTAGACTCGATCTGCTCTACACTTTCCATTGTCACATTTGCTGTGTCGAACCTGGACTGGAAAGGGATGAGCTCCTAGCCATTTTCTGGAATGTTCACAACTACTACAGTCAATTCATCAAGGAAGTAGAAGCCAGAATAAGTTCTCTCAAGTCTCCAATCGAGAAGAAACTCAAGGACTTTGTTAAAATCGCTAGATGGAACGACATCAACTACTGGTCTGTGAAGGAAACAGTCGAGAAGACTCACAGGACCCTCTGCAAATTCATTAAAGAGTACGAGAGTGGGTTGAAACAGAATGTTGCAGTGTGCTTACTCGTCAAGCCTTCAAATTATGATCTGGAGTCGAGTCGAGGGGAGTGGGATCGTCCCAGTGATCGAGACTACACAATCGACCCAAAGGACTTTGTCACTCGTCTGGTTCCCAATGAAAGAGCCCTCCAGGTGCAGAATGATCTCATAAACCGAAGTGTCAATCTCTTCATAAAAAGTAAAGGACTCTGTGAGGAAACGATAGCAAAGTCGAATTATCCATCATTGAGATCAGAACTGGAGCAGTTTATCGAGGATTCTATGGCTCATGCCATCACACTGAAGAGTCTTGATGTCGACAGGACATTGCCACAGACTAAACAGAAGTCCCATGCCAAGAGTATTCTCCAGCAGAAGAAGATGGCACTTGCTGACTACTTTAAGACCTTGACAACCTTTGGGATGTCCTACAGGAAGGGACTGCTGGTCCTAAAAAATCGACCTGACGACATCATCGACTTCACACTTCCCCCAGTGGAGGTTTTCTCAGCCTTCGAATATCTCAATCAAAGCGCCGATAGCCTTGAGAAAATTGATCAGCAGATGCTGGCGCAGTGGGATAGTTGTCAATCTTATTTCTACAAATCCCTGATTAAACTCAATGCCCTCAACAGTGCATTCAGAGTTCAAACTAACTTGGGAGTGCCCGATATGGAGAGATGCAGTGGCTTTTCCAATCACTTGATGCTCCTAGTGAACAACGAGAAGAGGACGCTAGCAGATAATTTTGTTAGTTTTCTGACTCTCAAGGAATATGTCGCAGATTTGATGAGAGTTGATATTGGGGATGACGATCTTCCACTTCACGATGAAATCAGTGTTTGCTCTCTTAGTTTGAAGGATTTGCTGTTGTTCCTTCGAATCAACATCGAACAGCTGGGGATTTATATCCACTCATGTCCCAGGGGTGATCTTACTGACGAAAACGAGATTTTACTCCTCCACGTCCATGACGACAGGCCCATAAACCATGTCCGAAAAGATGACGACATATGGAGGTCAGCAGACAGTATGCTGAAGGGTTGTGAAGACATTGTAATTAAAGAGATGAATAATTTTGAAAAAGTATTCACTCGGTTTTCGCAGTCTCTTCTCAGGACCCCGATTCATTACAATTCCTTGAGAATCTGTCGACAGAGTCTTCATAAAATCAGTGACATCATCTCTAGCTTTGGAGCACTCTTTCCTAGTGATCACCCTGTCTTGAAGACGATACTGTACATGAAGACGCGGATTAATAAGTGGTCCGTCTGTTTTGAAAAGCTCAAACTCACGCCAAATTCGAAATTCAATCCTGAGGACGACAGGATGATCGATTTCTGTAATAATGCTGAGGATCTAATGAAGACTGTTTTATTAGTAATACAGAATAAGTACAAAGATATAAGCACAAATGGGGACACCTTGAATAAAAATGCAGCTTTGGAGCGGAGGGAAGATGAGAAAAGTAAGCTGCAGGAAAATGGGTTACGAGAAAAATTAATCGAGTCCTTGGAGAAGGATGTCATCAACTTGAGACTGAGGGAAGTGAATGAGAAACTCGAGAGACTTCTGAAGCTCAATCGGAAGCTGGAGCCATTGCCTTCGCAGTCCAATATCATTTGGCAGAGAATTCTGCCATTACTTAGTCAATATCTCTTGCTATCACAATTCTATCTTCACGAGCAAGTGGCACTCTTTAGAACAAGTTGTAAATTCCTGTACATCCAGTTGAACGTCTTTCTGGATTTGGCAACGAATGGTTTCTGTGTTCCGAAAGATCTCGATTTTGATGGTGCTGAGGCTGACGAGGATGGTGAGCAACGGGATTCTGACAAAGGAGGAATGGGCCTTACTGAGGGAGAAGGTAAGAAGGACGTGTCTGATAGACTAGAATCGGAGGATCAGCTCGAGGATGCAAGACCTGCTGGTGAGGAGGACGAATCGAAAGAGGATAAGGATTGCCAGGAGGAGGAGAACGGTATCGACATGAGTGAGAACTTTGACTCTAAACTCCAGGATTTAGAGAAACCAGAGGGGGAGGATGACGACGAGGAGAAGGAAGACGATGAGGATCTTGATAAAGAGATGGGGGACACTGAGGAAGGGACTGAGCAACTGGATAAAGAAATCTGGGGAGATGACCAGGAGGAGGAGGAAGGAAGCGAGCCCAAAGAGAGTGACGAGCAGGGTTCAGGAGAGCAGCTTGGGGACAAGGAGATGTCTGCCAAAGATGACACGACGAAAAACTCGACTGATGAGAAGCAGAACCATGAAAATTGTGCAGGGGATGAACATAAAGAGGAGATTAATGAGATGAACGAGCCAGATGTCAATGACGATCAGATTAATCCTTATCATGGGAATCAAGAGCCGCTGCCAGAGCCTGAAGCTATGGATCTTCCAGAGGACTTGAATCTTGATGAGGGAGAGGGCAAGGAGGACAATGGTGAGGGGGAGGAGAACCCTTTCGATATTGACGAGATGAAGGAGGCCATGCCACCATCAGAGGCGGAATCTGAGAAGCCTCAGGATGAAGAGAAAAAAGATGAAACAGGTGAGAATCAGGACGATTCCGGTGACGAGGAAAGTCCCTCTACTTCAGATCCACAGGTGAAGGACCTAGAGAACAACGAGGAGAACGAAGAGAACTCTGAAGACGGGTCCAAACAAGCGCCAGACGGCTCAAAAGAAATAGATCCAAGTCCTGAGGAAACTGAGAAATCCCCTGAGGAACAAGTAGCCCCCAGTGTGGACGATGCGAGTAAAGAGACTGACGCAACCCAAGACCAGAAAACTGATGGCTCCCACGATAAAGTTCCTGATAAGGAGAATCAGAACGAGGACCAAGAGTCCTCAATGACTGAGAATAATCAAGACGGCGGAGAAGACAAGGGGACAGGCCAGGCGCAGTCTGAGGAACCTGAACATGGCCATGCTGGTATTTCGGCACAGACTACGCCTGTGCAACGTCAGGATATGCAGCAAAAACAGCAGGAGAAGAGGAAGAATCCTGGGGAGAGTGACGATAAACGAGCGATAGTGGATAACGTTCAACCTGACAAGAAGAAGCAGAGGATGATTCAATCGAGGGAAGACTCCTCTCGAGGTGATGATGATGATGAGGGGGAAGAGAGTAAAGATGGCGACATCGATATGTGTAAACACGTGAAAGAGGCAGAGAGATACGATAATTACGCGACCGATGCTGCAACCGAAGAACAGGCAAAAAAACAGAAAGCAGCAGATGCAGACGATCCTGAAAAGAATGAGGAAGAGATGGAGGTGGATATGCATGAAGACGAAATAATCGAGGAAGAAAAGCAGGGAGCTACTCAGAACCCCGAGGAAACCCCTCAATCAGAGGAAAGGAAGGATCGAGAGAAGTCGAAAACAAGCTCGAAAGGGCAGACTGTTGAGGAGTCACAGATGGAAACTCAGGTGGAGGTCGAGGGAGAGATTATAGGGACCGTTAGCGTTCAGAGAGCAGCAGAATCTACGTTCTATACGAATTTGATGGAGGAGTCATTGACAAGGATTGAGGAGAAGAGACGAGAGATCGAGGGGATGTTAAGTGAGTGGAAGTCTATTCCTACCACGAAGGAGGCTCTGGCAGCCTGGAACAGCCTCTGTGCAATGACAGAGAGCTCTGCCAGGGATTTATCTGAGAAATTAAGGCTTGTGCTGGAGCCAACTCAAGCTAGTAGGCTCAAAGGAGATTACAGGACTGGGAAGAGAATTAATATGAGGAAAATCATTCCTTACATTGCCAGTCAATTCAGGAAGGATAAAATTTGGATGAGGCGCACTAAACCATCGAAGAGGGATTATCAAATTGTCCTGGCACTCGATGACAGCAGCAGTATGGCTGATAATCACTCGAAGGAGTTGGCGTTTGAGTCACTTGCACTGATTTCCAAGGCTCTGGGTTACCTAGAGGTTGGTGAGCTCAGTGTTTTGAGTTTTGGAGAGTCCCCAAAGCTTTTACATCCACTGGGTGCTCCATTTACTGAAGATTGTGGCTCCAGGCTCATCCAGGATATGCAGTTCAATCAGAAGAACACGAAGATCGCTGAGTTGGTAGATTTCACTGTCGATATGTTCGAACAGCAGAGTAAGACTACTGATAATGCTAAATTACTCATTATCTTGAGCGATGGCAGAGGAATCTCTTCTGATGGGCTCAATAAGGTTGTTCGTGGTGTTCGGAGGGCTCAGCTCAAGGACATCTTTTTAATTTTTATCATTGTGGAGAATCCAAATGGCAGGGACTCGATCTTGGACATTCGCAATGCTATCTTTGAAGATGGAAAAGTTGTCTTCCATCCTTATCTTGACAGCTTTCCTTTTCCTTTTTATATGATTCTCAAAGATATCAATGCACTCCCTGGTGTTCTCAGTGATGCCCTTAGACAGTGGTTCGAGGTCGTGGGGAAAATTGATGCTTAATTGATTTTTTTTTCAAGTTTGTACATCAGAAATATGTATATCAGATTTCAGAGTGAGGTGTTTTTAATACGAGCCAATTAGCGACTTTATTCCAATGTTGTTAAATTTATAGGTTTCATCCGAATGACATAACGTGAGACAATTTATGGAAATAAAAAAGTAATTTCTATGAAAAATATCTCTAGATTATTCTTCCCTTGTTTCTTCACAAAGAGTCCTCCCTCTTCTGGAAACAGTATTAACATTCCGAGACCTTCACAATCCAGAGAGTCTGCTAATTACCGGGCAAGCCCTGATAATTTAGAAATCCGAGGATAACGCAGAGATCTTTTCCGAGGTGATGGCGTACGGTAACTGATCACACTCTTCCAATCACCGTTTTACATATATCAAAAATTCCCCCCGAGATGTCGCAACAATGTCAATTTCCCTGATTGATTCCAAAGTGCCGACCACCCCCTCCTCCTGTCATCAATAATAAGAACTCCATAACTTTAGAATCGCGAAATTATGCAGGAGCCCACAGAACTCAAAGAATTCATAAGAATTCACTTGCGCGTCCCCTATTCCCCACTAAAGGATTCCATTCGGCAATAATTGAATTGAACCCCCCTTTCCCCCAAAAATTAGTATAATGCAAGTCGGGCTGCTTCCACGACGAAATGCCGTTATGCGGATATTGCAACCATCCGAAAACCGAAGGAACAGCGCAATCATAAAGCCCCCCTCCACCAAGGAATGGGCGGATGCATTTGAACCCCCCGAATTTATGAATTATGGTGGTACGAGCAGGTTCCCGGAGCGTTCTTATTCTTATAAAAATGGAGGGAACAGGAGCGGGAAGCCGCATAAATATTCATACTTCCTGGTTTGGTCTTTGATGATAATGCCCCGTGAAAATGGTCTTTTGTGCGACGGCGGGTTTGAGCCCCCCCCCC